ATAAAGATATATCAACCCAATACAATTTTTGTGATCAGTGGAAATGAATCAAAAAATATAGAAGATTCTGATCGGATAAAGACATTACATATAGCGTAAGCTTATTTGAAATTTTTTACCTTCAAAAAAAAAAAAAAAGTTGATGAAATTAAAATAAATTTTCCTGGGGGCATATAATATGATAAAATTATTATTGAATAGTTAATCTTTTTGTTGGATGGAAAAGAAAATTTCTTTAATTATTATTTTTATTATACTTAGTGAAATTTAGATTTTTAATTGTATGTTTATTAGCTATCACAATTGGGAACATTATAGTTCGGTGAGAAAAATTGACGGACCACATGAAGGTGACCCAGAAATAACAATAGAGGTAATATTTCATCATAATTAATTAAATAATAATTAATTGGTTAATAATAATAATAGTAATGTATATACATATATTATTAGCCAATGAATTCGTCTCCAACAAATGGTCCACCAGATTTACTTCCAAATTCAATTGAAAAGATGATTATGAATTCAACCGGTGTAAATAATCTGATAAAGATTCGAGCACTAATGGAAAAGTTGGATAACGATCAAGATAAAGTTATTAATAAATTATTTGAAGAAAAACAACAAAAGGAAACTGACGGTGGAAATGACGAAACTAACAATAAAGATGACAAAGGAATAGTAAAGGGTGAAGTTGAAATAGGAAATCGTGAAGGTGATAGAAATCAACATACAGTATATTCAATTTTTTAATACATTTTTTCCAAAATAATTAATTACAATTTTTTTTATGATTCTTGGATGAAGATAATTTAATACTAACACCCAAAGATTATTTGCAAAATGACGAAGAATTAAATTCCAAAGCTAGCGTTTTAAGTGATGATAAAATTGAGAAAAAAGAAGAACAGGAGGATGATGAAGAGTGCAAGGATAAGGATGATCTGAACAATATAGTGAATGATATGGTGAATGATATGGTGAGTGTTGTGATGAAGGATGTGGTGAAGGATGTGGTGGATGTGATGAAAAACGATGAGGCAATTGATGAGAAGGAAAATGATGTGGTGAAAAATGATGAGATGGAGGATGATGAGATGGAAGATGATATGGAAAAGGATAGAATTGAAAGCAAAATGAAAATAGAATCATCATCTGAAAGGAATCATAAGTCACCGCAAAAAAAATCTTCAATAGATTCTTTGAATTCAGAAAAAGATGGGAAATCAAATGAAGAAAACAAGGAAATCTCCTACAATTCCCAACCAAAGTCAAGGAAGGAAAAACGTCAGGAAAAGAGATCTTTAACAACAAACTCTTCAAAAAATAAAAATAAAAATAAAAATAAAAACAAAAATAAAAGGTTTCATTATCAAAATTCTAATCCAATAACTAGTAATAATGATAAAAATAGCAACACAGTGATGACCCAATTATATATTTAAAATTTCAGATTATATTAGATTTTCTTTTTAAAATTTATTTTTAAAATTTATTAAGAATATTGGATTTCTCAATATAAATTCTACAATAAATTAATTAATTTATAAAGTTTCTATGTGTGAAAAATGAATTTTTTATCTAAAAAGATAACTTCCTTTTTTTAAAGTTATAAAAAGTTTGCTTCAATTGGTTATCAAGGTTATAAAATTTCAATATAATTTATTTATTTACATTATAAAAATAATACATTAAAATATATTTTTCATGTTAAAATTAAAGAAAAAGTTGATCAAGAAAAAAAAATTTTTCTATAAAAAAACTTTGTAAATGTGTATATTAATATGCGCACAAAAAAAACAATCAACTGAACACCAAACAATCATTATGATCCTCTGAATGAATTAGTATTATTCAAGCAAATTTGACAATAATTAATGTTTAAAGAAAATCCCCCAATTCATTTTTAATATTTTACTTTTTTAAAAAAAAATTTAAACATGATTCTGTAATAATGATGCCATATGAAAAGATGAAATTTACCATTTATTCAAATCTCATAGAAACAACTCATGAATTTAGTCACAATACTATTGTTTGTATGTTTGGCTGGTATAACTTTTTTATGACATCTTTCAACCAAAGACATCCCAGACATGTTTTTGATATGCTTGCTGTAATCTAATTGTCAAAAACTCTAACTTTGTTTAAATGGTGGTGAAAGTGATGAAATATAATTGACTGTCAACAATTAATCATGGATGCAACTACAACAACATCAAGGTAAAGCTCTATTAAAATTAAATCTTCTAAGATTGAATCAAGAAATTTGTTCGGAAATCTATCCTACAATTAATTACCAACTACTTTGTTAAACCTGACTAGGAGAGACTCCCATTGGATCTTTTTGATATAGAGAGTACGTTGTTTGGTATATGGTGTTAATGGTTTGTGTATGTGTATAGTTTCTTAAGAAGGGTGGTAGAGTGGAATGAGAAGTTGAGAGCGATCTTGATGCACCAGCAATAGTGATGGCAATTGCTTAATGAGGATCCTGAGGTTTTATAGTGTAGCCACATTTAAATGGAATACGTGACAAGTTGATACACTCACCAGGTTTTTAATTCATGTCAGTAAGAATCCAGAGCGACTTCAAGCTGCACCCTCAGTTAATCTCACCAAAGAGAACCATTATCTTGCATGCGACGAAACCCTTGAAATATTTGGTATCAAATTTGTCAAACAAAATCTTCCTGGGAATGTAAAAAGTTCAGAATATTTAAAAAATCTAATAAAAACAGTATACAGGTGTTGGTGTGAAAAAGTCTTTTTCAAGTATCTTAAGTGATAAATGCATGGCTTTAAAAGAAGATTAAATTAAAAGATTAAATTTTTACGTATATTATCTTTTAATGTTAATTTTGGCCCCAAACTTACCGAAAATTATGATCACATAAAGCATAATTTGGAAAAAAAAGCATAATATTTATTATTATTATATCTTTAAAAAAACGCGTAAAATTTTTATTATGTAGGTCAGTATGTACCAAAAATAGATAGTAGCTCAAAGTTGATCAAGTTTATTGACATCATGAGCAACGACATTGAACCGTACCCTGGTTATCACAGTAAGCGTTGTGATAGCTATTTAAAAAAAATAATAGCACTTTCCTAACCTTATAATTAACAACATTCAAGCTCTTGTCTTCTACATAAAAGATAATACACAGTGTCATGTATTCATATATTTTGCAATATAGGGAGGGAGCTTCTATCTATTTTTGTCTGGATTAGAAGTATTGGTTTTTGTCCCAGCCCGAGTAATAGTAGTGGCAACTCCGCTTATTTTTGTCTGGGTTAGGAGGTCTCGGCTTTTATTCCGGCCCTACTATTGCGATTTACATTTTCTTTCTTGAGATAAAGCATTTGCTTATGATATGGAAATTATGACTCACCTTTGCCTTCATATTCCTGTAGGTAAGAAAACAACGTACAAACAAAAGTTTGCAGATCTACTGGGAATCAATAATCTATGAGCGAAAAAAGGTTTCGGTGCCTCTCATCTTTGTGTGTTAATTTTGATGAGTCATCATCATCTGATTCCAAACGAAATAAATGCCAAACTAGAAGTGGGAGAAAAATTCCAGATTATTATGAAGATTATAATAATTCTTTAGATGTTCAGGTATGTAACGAGCCAACCTTGATTCCTCTGTACAATGTCTGATTGGGAATGCTGTTGATATTTATGTCCTTTTTTTTGACAGAAACAGCCTCCAAAAAGGTAGCACTTTTTCAATTCATGTGATAATTTCTCCTTGGATCAAACTGGCTTAAGGACAAACCTATTATATTGTATAGATTAATATTGAAAAAACAAAATTTCTCGAGTTGAGTAGTCGCAACATATATCCACTTTGTAAGCCATTTAGAGAACTTTCCAAAGAAAATGCGGGAGGTTTATTTGACATAATAGCTGATAATACAGCGGTTGAATTTAATCTTCCCAAAAATATAAAAGAATATCTCAAAGACCTTCTTAGCGGTGATGTTAAAAACGCGTTTTCTAAGGTAGAAAAGTCACTCAATTATGATGCGAGTCCATTGTTATTATGGACTAGAGAAATTTTCTCCTTTATTACCATTATGGTGGCTTACAAGTGGATGGAGACGAGAAAACTCGGTCTACTCAAACAGTTTATCGTATACTCGATTTATTTTTAATTTTTTTTGGGAAGGAAATTTCTGGAATCACGTTGTAAGTATTGTGTAATAAATTTTTCCTCTATTTTATGTCATTTCTTACAATACACTTTTGGTTATATTGGCGAAATTCCGAATGAAGCACATAATGACAGAGCGTATAATATTAATTATATCCAAAAACCATCACAATATGGACACGCAAGCAGAAACGATGCCGTTTTATATCAAGACAAGGATGCGACGATTCTATATGAACAATCATATGGACCTATGGAATTTGTACCATCACACCAATTAGATGATTTCGTTAAACTGGCAAAAAATGGAGTAGACGACTTGAATTACCACTTTACACATAATAAAAATTGTACAACTACCATGGCAATGAAATTTAAATCTGTATGAATCCACTGATACAGTAAATAGTATATACATATTATTTGTTATATTTCGCTAATTATAAGATACTAATTGATCTAACTCTTATGTTTTTAGAATATTTAATCTCAGTATATCTTATTGACATTATTCGTGTAAAAACTTATAGAATTTATTCAGAAAGATGGGAATTATTAAATATTGCAAGATTTGGTGCCCTTTTAGAGGTATTATTTTATCTTTTAAAAATACCAAATATATCTTATTCATGTTTTGTTTATTAAAATTCTACTTCTATCTATTATAGAAATTGCTAGCCGAAAGACGAAGTATAAAAGAAGAAATGCTTAATTGATTTTTTTAACAATTGTAATTTATTTGTGTAATCTAAAAAAAATAAAATTAAACAGAAAAAGTAACCTGTTAAATACAAGACGTATGACGACATACAAAACTTCCAAAGCAAGTTTGTAAAATATACTGATGAACGTTTATCAATTATTGAATAGCTTGTATCGAGATAATTGTTAAAAGTCAAAATCTATGAATCTGTTTGTAAAATGTATTTAATGAGCGCTTTATCAATTGTTCAAATGATTATATAGGCAGGCTTGGTAAAAGTAAGTGTTAAAGTCAAGATCTATTTGCAAATAAAGTTTCCAAAATGAACATTTGTTATTATGGGCGGGTTTGATCAAAGTAAGTCTTAAAGTCAAGATCTATGAAGCTGTTTGTAAAATATATTTAATTAACGTTTTATTTATTACTATCGATTATTCAATAACCATATAGGCGGGTTTGATCGGTCAAGATCTATATAATTAGATTGTTAATAGTTAATAATGGAATTTTATTACATGCAAAAAAAAATTTTTTGGGTTGTAAATTTTGGTTTATTAAATAAATTCGTTTGATTTTTTCATACATCGTTCATGTTTTCTCTTGATCGTATATTTTAAATTGGTCGCGTTTACGATCATTTTTGACATTCGTTATATTAAGGTTATTTTGATTATATCGAGAGATATGGTCAAGGGAAGAGTTAGGAAGAGAGTTATTCTTCAACCAAGTCGAAAACCAACCCTTTAAATACATTTTAGAGTAGTACAATTTAATTTATTAGAATATTTCAAATGGTTGCTTCCAACTTCTTAAATTCAAACCATTTGTTAACGAAACAACTGTTGGTGAAATGATTGTTGACAAAATGAATCAATTCAATGTTTTATGTTAACGTTTATTTTTACATTATCAAATTCACGATTTTGATTGGTCGATCAACAATTGCGTGGGTTAAAATGTAAATGATTGAATCAATTGAATCGTGTATTTTTGTTATTGTGATGCTATGAAACACTCGACGCAGTGGTATTTTTATTTTTAGACCATCTTGTATAACGTTGTGTGATGATAGATGATTTCATGGTTTGAATGTGCTCATCGTCTGTAAACTTGATTGCTTGAAGATGGACAGGGACATTGTAGAAAGTTGTGTTCCGTGTGCTGAAATGGCTTGAGAGGAATTTCTCTACAAAAAAAAACAAAAAAAAAATCTGGGGACGGCCATCCAATTGTATTTTTTTGAATTGATAAAATAGACTATTATTGTCTTGACCTGAGTGATGTCGTTGTGTGAGTAAAGGACACGAAGCTCACTGTCATGTTTTCGTTTGAAAACTTGTTAACGATATGTATAACAACAAATTTAATTTATTACAAAAAAAAACAAGTGATCGTTATAAGATCAAACAAAATCTAGAAAAAATTAAAAAAAAAAAAGAGACTGTTATAAAGAAAAGAAAAATAAATTACAATGAATTAGGAAATGTAAAATGCCGATAAAGAATAACTGTAATTAAATAGCAGGAAAGAATTTTAAGCATTAGTGGAACACCATGTTTGAATTATAAAAAGAGCTAAGACGCTAGAAGAAACATGAAAACGTAAAAAACGAATTAATTAATTTTTGTTTCGTGGAACATTTGAAAATTAATTCTAATCCGTGCAACAACAAATTTCTACTTGCGGAAACAAAACAATTTGTGATTAATTTCATATATTATCTTTATCGTTAATTATCTTGGTAATTAATTTCGATGATGCTAAATATCGTAAGTTAATTTATCAAAAATTATCTTATTTCGTTAATTTTCAATTTTTTTATTGAGATAAATATCGATAATAATGTATCTCAATATTTATCCCCTAAAAAAATTTCCTGATGCATGAAAAGAAAAATAGACTCCCTTTTTAAAACTGAATTGAATGGTGGTGGGTTTTTTAAAATCCAATGTTTAGGATCACATAATCTTTCAAAAATTTTAACTTTTGAGTATAGATGATCCGCACTATATCATTATTTAACTCTTTTATCGGATGTAACTTTATTCATTTTCATTCCCATTTAAATTAACACATATAAATCTTTTCAAATTATAATAAACACTTATTGTGTATGAACTGTTTTATTTATTTTCGCTTCCTATGTTATAATATAAACACTATAATTTGCATGAATCTTAAGCAACGTAAAAATTATAACTAACAATAAAAAATAAAGATAAATATAAGATGAAAGTAAAAAAAGGTAAAAGAGATAAATGAAGTAATCAAAGAGCCAAAGAGCAAATACAGCCTATTTTCTATTTAAAATAAAATGAAAATCAATCGACAGTTAATATTTTTTCAAAACAATTGAATGTAATAATGGTAAATGTTAAGAATACTTGCCTATTTATTATTTAAAA